GGATGGCTCAAGGGAAAACTAAAGGACACCACCCATTTTGGGTACCCCTATTTTGAGACAGACCCAAACAACTTGCCATTCCACAAGGCAAAACCTTCAGTTTTTGCACAAAGAACGGAGGACATCACACCTATCCTTCTCTTTTCTGCCAAAGGCTCTCGCGAACTCTCAAGCCAGGCAAAAGCTTGGTGGCTGGACCCCATTGCACACTGACAGAGTTGCAGGAAAATAATGGATTGTTGGGACATCGTCCAGGTTCTTGCTTCAAAATGCGTCAAGCATGGTCGCTGAATATCGGAAGATAAGGCGCATGTTGAACTGTTGAACCGTGATGATGCCATCTGGTCGTGTGGGTGCAGGTGTCAAAGCTAGCAACCCAAAGGAAAACATCATGAAACAATTTGGAGGGTTGATTCCTAGCTTTGACACGTTCCCACCTAGCTCGACCCAGGGCTGTCAATCCGCTGGCGCAAGCGCACCAGGATCTTGGCAACATGCCGGGGCCTCAACTGGCAGGAGTCACCTCAGTCGATTGCTGTCAACTCTCAGACTCTCCCAATGAGACCCCAACCCTGCCATGAAAGCAGAAACAAGACACAACATAGCGTTCATCTTGACTTGGGTGTTTTTGTATTTCAGGGTACCCTTTTTAAAGGGAAACAAAAAGGAAACCGCCAATTGGCGGGGTCCCGATTCCTACCGTTGGGGGTTCGAATTGCATCTGGGTCCTCCGGCCGGCCGGTCCGTAGCGCCCCAGGGCCGGGCATGTCTCCAGGCGTGTCACGACGAGCTGCAGCCACTCGGCCAGTTGGGCGGCGGATGGGCCGCCTGACGCTGCGGAAGGTTTTGCCGACTTTTGGAGGGGCGGTGTTACGTGGTGTTGCGTGGTGTTCTGGGGGGATTGCGCCATTTTCACGCGCATCTGTAATCCGAAGATAAGAAAAAACAAGGTCGTGCGAACCAGTCCAAGTAAAACCGTTTCTTGGAGATTCAAAGAAAAGGCGCCCAAAAGCACCAAGCTGTTTAAAGTCTCCGTCCTGAAACTAGGAGCCACTTCTCCAGGTGGTCAAGAGCATCCACGAAGTGGGCGCATTGGATCACCCAGAGCAACTTCTCCAAGGTGACCGCCTTGGCCAAGGCCTCCCATGCCTCACAGGCTTGGAGCTTGGATTGGAGGGGATCCTGTTCTTCCAGCGCCCCCAGGACGTGCATCCACAGCACCACCTGCCAGAAGGAATGGCGCTGCTTTTCAAGCCTGAAGTTCGCAGTGCCTCTTTTTTGGGGGAACCCCTTTTAGTGGTTGTAGAAGGAAACCACACGGAAAACAACCATTTTGGAGACACACACACACACACACACCCAGACACACACACGACATTTGATAACCCCAGAAACAGTGAAAATGATCTTTCCGGTAACAAAAGAGCGGGAAGCCCCTCTCTCGTTCCCAAGATCCTCTCCCCACCTGCGGGCTCGCGGCAAGTCGGGGCACCTGGCTGGCCAGGAAGGCGCGCTTCACCGCGGCGAAGAGGTCGCGGCCGTCCAGGGCCACGCCGGTCATCAGGCGGGCCACGGCCGTCTGGGTGCGCCACTGGCCGAACTGCGTGGCGCCGTCCACGGCGGCCAGCCACTTCCGCATGTCCAGCAGCCGCTCAACCTCGCAGGTGCCGAAGAGCTCCTGGTAGTGGGCTCTCGCCGCATCATCCGGCACAGTCTTCAGCAGGAATGCTTCGCTTCTCGTCTTGAGATGTTGCTCAGCATCCCCGGATACGCTCTGCCCAGAAGTGCGCAAACTCTGCAGCTCACTCATGGGCAGAAACTGAGCAATAAGGTCCAAATGTACAGGCGGAAACGGCGCATCACTTGCCTCCGAGAATATCATGGCTCAAGCGATTCTAAGAAACATCAAACCACCGGTCTTGGTACTTGAACATGGAAGTCTGTCTGCATGGCAATCTTGGCTAGTCACCGGATTGGGAAATGCACTAGACAGCTCAAATTTCTATACCACCTTGTTTGCTGTACGGCAATGCCACATTGCATCGGCCGTCACTCCGAGCCATTTCAGCGGCTGACTGAGATCAGGGTGCAAAGAGACTTGCGCCACTAAACCACATTGACATGCAGCTGCAGTGACTAAGGAGTGGGTCACACATTCGGCTCAAATGAGCGAAGAAAAACTCACCAGCCCAAATCTGTTGGCGGAATGCAACTGTGAAACAGCCGCGATCGAGAAGGTTGTGAGGTCGCTAGAGCAACACACACACACAGACATGGGCAGAGGGGGTGGCAGTGGTCTGCACGGGTGAAAATGAGCGCGGAAATAGACTCTACCCACATATAGCATAATATCGATTGCATGTGGAAAATAGACTCTACCCACATATAGCATATCGATTGCAGGTGTACATATCTGTACACACCCACACGCGGACGAACACAAACACAAACACAAATATGTGACATGTTTTTCAGTGTAGGCCTATCCCAATGATTGGTTACTTACTTGGACCCATTTCAAACAATCACCCAAAAGCAGAAATCCGAATTCTATCATGTGCCCAAGTATACACTCGATACACTTTCGAGCACGAGACTTGATCTCCTCCACTGCCAGCTGAAGTGTGGTGCTGGTTGCCTTCAACACGTCGTACTTGCTTTGGGCCTGTCCACGACGCGATGTTCGGCCGAACTCTGCATTGCAAGCAAAACAACCGAGCGCCGCTGAGTGAATATCCGCATACCTAGAGGGATTCCGCTCCAAAGGTGTCCAACCTCCGAAGATGCACTGCCCGCAAATCAGGAGTTGCGTATCTAGGGAGTTAAGATGTCGCCTTCTTCCGATTCTTCCGCTTATTTGTCTTGCATCTTTCCACTTTCACCGTGCCTTGATCAGGAAGTCTGCAGGTGGCAGAAGCTGAAGGGGAACAGGGTCCGGTTTGATACCCTGGCATCATCACCCGTCAGATTGAAAAACACATGATCAATGGTTTAAGCCAAGGCACAAGGCCGAGAAAACAAATTTGCCCACTGAAGACACGCACTTTACATTGAAGATGCCATTTGACTGCACTCCATGTCACTGCTTTGTGATGGAGCACTCTTCATACTAGACATGCACAGCCTGACAAAGGAAGTGAACACAATCTGAGCCAGGGAGGCTCCATTCTGTGAGCTGATGTCCAATCCGTCTGGCAGCGTGGGTGTAATTGTGAAGGCGACCTGCGCCAAAGCACTGCGTGGAAGAGCAAAGCCGCATCTCTTGCTCGCAAATGCCTCATCGAAGTAGTAGGCAGGGAAGCCAGCGCTGGACCAAAGAACCGCCATGGTCGGGAAGGACACGTTGCGAGCAAGCACCACCTGCAAGGCTTCAGAAAAAGAAATGTGAGCACTTGCAAAGTTTTCTAGAGAAAGAGCTGACTACCGGAGTGACATGCTGCAGGTCACCCCCCCAAGGCCTGTGTCAAGGGATTGGCCAGCAGTGAGTACGAGAAAGCTGGAGCAGCGAGCACTCCCAGAGTGACCACCACACCATTGCCATCCTGCCCAGCGCACGGCTTGGCAAAACTCTCATCCATCCTAGCAGGCTAATAGGAGCGACGCAGAAAAAGCCGTGTTGGGCGCGATTATGTTATTCTTCACTGGCGCCAACCAGGATACCTTGACCTTGCGAAGATAAAACTGACAAAGAAATAAACCACCACGTTTGCAGGACCTGCACCCAAGACTTGCTTCTACAGTGGTTCCGTCGCATTTCCAGCACCTCGCCGTGAATCTGTCCGCCGCTCCTCTGGGTAGACCACCAGGGACTTTGAGTGCTTGCACCACACGTAGGCCTGGCGCGATCCCGCGAACCGGATCGAACCGGCTCGGAACTTCCCACCTGGGTCTGTTTAAGATTCGGACCCCCCCAAATTGGCTTCCGGTTCTCCTATTGGTTTCCCTTTAAAACCCACCAAACTTCGGGTACCAACTCCAATGCCAAAAGAAACCACACTCACCTGAGTTCGGAAAACTCACTACAGACCCACCATCCAGCCTGTGGAGTGACACCCAAGGGCATACGTTGAATGTTCGTCGCGCTAGCTGCCTCCACGGGAATCGTCACCTGGGTCTGATGCCGTTAGCCAGTCTGGGAAGTTCCCCGGAAGCGGACACTTGGCCAACTCAAAGCACCCTGCACCTGCCAATGCTGCTCTCCTGTGCTGAAGCCCGCACTGACAGGTTCTGGGTCGTATCAGATACCTTGCCGCACAGAATGCTATGCCAGCACACACGAAAAGGTGTGAGTTTGTTCGCTGATATACTGTATCGGCTGGTTCTGCATGCGATGCGGCATACAGAATGCTGACAAGTTGCTGGAATAAGGAGTGCCCTGCCAAGAACCTGACTCTCCTCGAACACTGGGACGAAGTCCTGCATGCCCGGAGCCCGCAAAGGGCAAGTGTTCACAGCTCCCTTAAACTCTCTCCTGCGGCATTGTGAGGCCATAGTCACCCACAATCTCCGCAGCCTTGGCGAGCATCCGTTGTAAAGTAGTATTTCTCAAGCAGTCACATGGACAACCACAAACACAACTCCTTGTCTGAGGCATGCGAATCACAGGCCGCCGACCACCAGTGCTCGAGCAAATGTCTGAGTCGTCGCAATGCAGCTCACCGACCCAGCCAATGAGGCCTGCAATATCGCGTGCTCCAATGGGAGCGCTTCAATGGGAGGACCCCCCCCTTTTTCGTGGTTTCTAAGGGAAACGAAAAGGCCCCCCCCATTTTGCGAGGGGTCCAAGCGCAAAAAGTCTACGGCCTCCACCACGACATTGATCTCCTGGGAAGTCGCTGCTTCTTGGCCAACCGCCGCCGAGGCCTAAGGCGTGCCATGCCAAACGTGCCTCTCTCCCATGTGACACGTGCCTTCTCCAAGGACAGGATGATGTCGAGCACGCTCAAACTGCGGCCAATCTTGTTGAATACCTGCCGGTGCCAAATTCCGGTTTGGACAGTTGTCGTCCAGCAAACACACTTCTGCAGCTTGAGCATCCGACACGAGTGGTGTCTGATGCAAGTCCGACGTAGCAAAGGACGTAGCGGTGCCCTACTGCCAACCTAAGCACCAAAAACAGCCGCAATGCTTGAGAGGCTTGCTGAGCATTCATCATGCTGACATGAAGTCACACAAAGACTCATCTTATGCAGACTGCAGCTGAAGGGCTGATGAGTCTCATCTTCCGTCACTGAGACCTTCGGCAAAGTTTGTGCACATACCATCCAACGTCGCTGTGCCAGCACCACGGTAAACGCACCTACCCACTCTCAAAGGACCTTTTTGGCGGGCTGAGGAGAAACAACAAAAGCTCTTTCGGCGGGTGTCCAATGCTGGGAGACAAGGGAGCGACATGTATGCCTTTTCATGCTGAGTGCCGGGACAAAGTGCGTGGCCGAGTTGACGGGCGTGGGCAGCACCGAAACTGCCTTCAGAGGGACCTCGCAAGCCGCTGGCATGCTGAGACTTTGCTGCACTCTGGACCAGAAATTGGGGGTATGAGCCGCAGATGCTCCAGCTCTTCACAGGACCACGTGATACAAGAAAGGTTGGGCCACAAATGGTTTAAATCGTGCAACACATCTCGCTACACACCAGAATTGTCCACCCTCCTCCAACGTCACCAATGACCTCATGTTCGAGTCTCAAACGAGACTATCAATTTCGTGATGACCTACACCTTTCCGTTCAGCGAGAAAGGCTCTGAAATATTGTTCTTAGTCAGAAATCACTTTGGTAGACATGGTGACTCAAGCCAACCACGTAGGATGCTCCCCCATTTTTTCCTTGTAGCCTCTATTCATCTCAATCACCCGGGCGCTCCCGCAGCGGCAGCTCGCTGGATGTAGCTCGCAGCCGACTGCGCAAACAAGCGTTGAGCGCTGGTTGTGTCTGCAATGTGGATGCATCAAAATAGGGGGACCTGAAGCTGGAGCTCTCTTTCTCCTTTAAACCAACCCAGGAAAGGGTACCGAGCCTCAAAAAAAAGACGAGCCACCCATGTTGTTTCGAGTTGCCGCCTCAGGCTGGACGTCCAAGGGCGCCAAGCCAATTGGCTGCACGCAGTGTCCTCCGTTGGTCTGGTACTCCTCAGGCTGGTTGCTTGCGGCGGGGCCATGCGGATGTCCCCCCACCTTTCACAGGGTGTTGTGTTGTGTTGTTGTGTGGTGTGGTCTGTTGTGGTGTGGGTGTGGGTGTGTCTGTGTGTCTGTGTCTCTGTGTGTCTGGGTGCGTGTGTGAGCGTGTTGTTTAAGGGTACCTCTGTGGTGTGGTTTGAGAACTGTCTGGGAGCGGGGCAGTCTCGTCCAGCAAGAACGCCTATCGAACCGGGCGGCAAAAATCACGGCCGGCGATGCCCTTGAGATCTTTGAGCTCTATCGAACTTGCAGCTGTCTTCCCGCCTGTGCGAACTCGCCTGGGGCACTGTTGTACAACACCAGGTTGGAGGCCAAACCACGGCTCCTGCCCAGTCTCTTCTTGCTCTCAATGCTCGCCTTCAATGCCCCTGTCAACTCAACTGCCGAAGCGTAGCTTGATCAGGCATGGGAGACTGAACTCAAGCCAAGCGGCATGTGCTGAATGAAGGCATCATCCACTATCAGTGCCAGGCTGGGTGGCGTCGCCTGGTTGATCCCGTGTTCGCGTCAACCCCGCATGCAATTCAGCAGCCAGCCTCTGAAAACTCCATGACGCCGCCTTGACCAGCCTCAGAAGGCTCAAAATGCAGTCCATGGTCTGAGTTTGACAGCAGTCCATTGACATCCCAAGCGCCTGCTGTGATCCTGTGACACCTATCTGAGCTGCGGTCGTTGACAGCTATAGGCAGGGAGGCAGGAAGCTCGAAGAAGCAAAACATTCTCTTGAGCCTGGCCAGTTACAAACTCACCTATCTCACCTCTTGTTGATCGTTGAGGCATGTGGCTGGGGTCCCTGCGGGCTGGCAGTCAAGTAGGCTTTGATGTTTTCCTCGTGACCGGAGATGTTGCGCACCACTGGGACTGCCTCGCAGCAAACTCATCCATGGATTCCGCATCATCTATGTGTCAGTGCGGTCTATCACCAGCCTCGGCGTAGACTGATGCATCGCATTCGCCAGTGTTGTTCACCATCTTCACTCGCGCTTCAGATGTCTCCGCGACGTTCTCCATGAACACCTTATCAATTTCATTTGGGAATATCTGTGGGCACTCGGACGACGCGTAGTGAAAATCTGAGCCACTGGCAACAAAGCTGGCCCCCGGCCAAAGGAAGGTGGGCAGTGTATGTGCCAGTGGGGCCTCATTTCTCTTGCAAAGATGCGAACGAATCGTGTCATAGTCTCATGGGAGACCCTGCACTGAAATCGGCCTTTTGGGAAGCTTCAGGCTCAGGCTTGACCAGGCAGGGTGAACTGCTGGCCATTTGGATCACTGGGCGATACCATCTTGGTCTCCTGACGAGTTGTTCGAAGGCACATTGCTCAGGTCCCAGCTGAGCAACTGGCCCAGAATGTGATCAGTCTTGGCACAATTGTGAAGTGCTTAACAAGTTGTGGCCAGGGTCCCATTGCCAAGTCTCACTCAAATTTGATGAGATCTGCACCCAGCTACAGGTACAAACTTTCCTGTTCTAGTCCCAGCTCCTCCGCGGCGGAATGCCAGCACCAGACCGGTACATGGTCGGTCGTCAGCAGGGATGCCTGGCGAAGGAAAGAGCGCCCTTGCAACCCTGGCAGACAGTTCCCATCAACGGGCTTGAACTGGGTGCGCCTTCAAGTAGTGGAACCCCCAAAATGGTGGTTTTCTGGTTGTTTCTCTTTAAAACCACCCCAAAAAACTTCCGAAAAAGAAACACCCCTCTCATACCATGTTGAAGAATATCAGGCCGGGTGGTGGCAGGTCATTTCAGCCATCTCGAATGTGCCCCTCGGGCCCCCACCAGCACCAATGAGACGGTGACATTTGGAGGAACAGCTGCCGGCACCGTCACCGTCGCCAAGCCCAACGTGTCTTCCTGCGCAGTCGCGGCCTTGTGGTGACCTTTCTTTGGTCATGCCAATGCTGACTCAAACCTTGTCAGCATCACAAACCAACGTGGACACATACCACATGCCATGGTCGCGACTGCGGCTGAGCTAGACAATGTTGCACATCAACAAACCGTGTCACCCCAGGCAGTCCGGACTCTGCAGCCAGTCTAGTAGGGCAGACCGCTGAGCAAACGCATATTGCCTGCAGTTCGTTCATGCATCTCGTGGACGTGGGAGTTCCCTGGGATAGTACTTGTCAATGTCGCCAAATTGGGACAGGTGTTGAAGCCTATACTGTAAAAGCGCATGGACTCCCAAATACATTTCAAGGGTTCAAGGGTGACCTTGTCAAAATTGGGGGATCCCCAAAATCCCTTCAAAACCAACCAAAGGAGGGAACACCCCCCCTCCCCCCCCCAAAAAAATGAAAATCACAAACACCCCCATCTGGGTGTATCCTTTTGTTGGTTTCTTTTTCAGTTGGGTTCAAAGGGATTTTCCTGGGACCCACAAGGCAAACCGCTCCGCCTGGCCACTTTGGGGACGGTGAACGGACCTGAGGCCTGCGCTGCGCGGCCGCCGCCCCGGTGAAGCCCTCCACGGCTGCGGCCGCAGCCGCGAGGATCTCCTGCGCCTTGGTGGAGGTCACCTGGACGCGGGACGCGGCGGGGGAAGGGGGGTGGGGGACGGGGGCGGGGGAAGGTTCTGAAGAAACTAGGAAAAAAAACGGACTTTGAGCAACCCCGCCTCCTCCCCAAAAAAGGGCAAAGGGGGGGGTGTACCAACCCAGCATGTTTTATGGAGGCTGCTTTGTCGGAAAACGGGGGGGGTGTACCCGTGTAGGGGTTGCTTTCAAGGGACATCAGCAGGACACCAATCCATCTGGGGTGTGCTCATCTTTCAAATGACTCATAACACAAATAAATGACGAGATCTGTTTCTTTCCCCCTATGGATTTTACCTTCGGCATGTCGACAGGTTGGCACATTGGACAGGTGATGTCAACACAGGCGCTGCATGCATCGAAGCGCGCGCCTGCGGATCCTTCACAACACAGGTCAGGAGCCCAGGAAGCCTGGCAGCAACCTGAAGCAAAGGCAATGCCAGGATCTCCGTTGACATAACAGCTTCATGACAAAGCCTGAGGCTGAGGAGAGACATGAGGGACCTATATCCGTCCACTAGACCCATAAAATCGACCAAGGGCCGTCTTTCAAGCCTCAGAGCTAACCAATGAATATGCACGTCTCTGTGTGTCAAGGAGCATCAAGTCGAAGGGTTGTTCTTGTTGATGAGAGGGTGCTCTGCGCAATGCTGGCAAGCACCTGGCAATTGCCGCACAGCCATGCAAACCACCAGCGCGCGACAAGCCTCGCTAACTTCAAAGGTTCCCACCTCACGGCACCAAGGCTGGCTTGAGTCAAGAAGAAACGAGCCAAGGAGTCAAGGACGGTTGAGGATCTAGGGGTTGGACCCAGTTCAAAGGGGATTCCTTCAGAGCATCGGACGCATCGTCCAACATGCAGGCATAGTACCTGCACTGCCACTTTCCGCGTCTGCATCTACCAGATCGCGACCCGCAGAAGGCGCACGTGCCAGCCGGCTCATCGAGCAAGAAGGAATCACTGAGGCCACTGGGGGGCAAGCTGATGACCTGTGCGCTCTCGCCATCTGTTCCGGGAATGAATCACAAAACGGGGCTCTCCACACGACGCATATCCTGTTCCTCTGGTTTGCCCTCTGCGACACGCGCTGAGGAATCAGCTCTTCCTCTGGCGACAGCATCTGCCATTTCTGGGCCTGCAGTCAAACGCTCATAACAGGAATGAAGGAGAAAGCAACAAAAACAATCAGAAAACGTCCGAATGATGTGACCTGATGCCATTATCCTTGCATGATGCAGGGGATTAGTCACTTATTGCCTTTTCCGAAATATCCTATGGTGGCTGGCATTCCGCCTTGGCTCACTGGGCTGCTATCTCACTGGGCTGCTATCTCACTGGGCTGCTGGCAAAGCTGGCCTGCGTCCAAAATGGCACCTGTGCTCAACTGCCGCAGGGCCAGTCCTTTTTATGGCCACCCACACAACCGTTTGATGGCAAATGCAGCTGGCCCACCTAGGCTGGCAACCTCATCTACTGATATCCAGCTAATGTTGCCCGAGAATGAAGTCCTGGGTCAAGGAGCTGCGCCAGAAAAAGCTCAGCTTCGGGCTGACTTCAACTCAAGGCTACCATGCAAGCGTGCCAGGCGGGCTGCTTCTCAACCTCAAACCTCAGAGCAAAGTACCATGGGTGTTTCTCAAAAGGGCCCCTTGGCTTCCCTGGTTTCCTCTTGGCTTCCCCTTCCCTCAATTTGAGAGACACCAAACAGCACCAGCTGGGAGTACGCAAGCCGATGAATGTGCGCAGCACGGCGACAAGCCCGCCTGTTTCTGGCCCCGCGATACAGGGTAGGTGTGTCCAGGGCCTTGGAGAACACTCGGGGGTGACTTTTTTCAGGATGGCCCTAGAATGGCTGGCTGTCCCTTTGTTCCCCCCTTCAAACCAACCCGAAAAGGGTACCCTGAGACAAGACACACCCACTAGCACCATCTTGGCGTCAACAAAACTGCTCAGCTCCACGCCGGCACAGGGTTGATGTCCATCTTCTCTCTCATTGTGATCGGATACTCCTGGTCAGCATGCACACTTGGAGAGCCTGGCTGGTGTCATTCGTCGGCCTGGGGGCTGCCAAAGTAGCACAGGTGAAGCTTGCACGATGGGTCATCCATGCCTCAAGCAAGTCTGTTTCCACCAGAGGCTTCTTGCGCCGGGCATCTCATTGAGTGCCCATGCCACTTTAAGCACCCAGCACATTGCAGTATCCAACTTTGCCAGCGATGCTGTCTGCAGCATCAGGTTGCCAAAGTTATCCTGTCGAATTGTCCGAAACGGTCGGCTTGCCCACGCAAGGGGAAATTGACAATTGGTCAACATCAAAAAGTGTGTTGCGTTCTACTTGCCGTGCTGCAAGTACACAACAAGTTTGCCAGACTTCTGCTTTGTATGTGTGCGTGCAGTCCTTGGAATCCTGGATAGACAGCATGCCTGGAAAACAAACTGTCCCAAGCCATCCTACAACCCTTCGAACCCGGGAGTGTCCTGAAGACATTCGGCTGTGTTTTTTCTTTGGTGAGGGTTCCATTTTGGGAGGGTGATTTGAATGAAACCCAAAAGGACACTCACCATTTCGAGGGTCCCCCTGTTTTGGCACACAGCGCTTCTCGGTTTGAAGGCTGGCAAGCTGCGCTCATCCATGTGATAGGCCAAGCCCATGCAGGATTCGGTGCTCATGGCTGTCAAGACCTGCGCAGGATCTCTGGGATCTGAGGATGCAGAATCCACACATCCTCCGCCCCCCTCACCCGATTTGAAATCCGAGAATAATGATAACTCAGAGCCCCGCCCTGACGTCGGCGGCTTGCAGTCTTCTGCCTCCTTGAAGCATTTGAAGCTATTTGCGCAATCCGAAGCGATGGATCACACCAGCGACCTGCCTGTGATGGAGGCCCCGGTTTCCACATCGTAGATCTTGATCCTGAGTGGGGCTTGAGCTCGAGACATGAAACGCAGGATCCGACAATGAGAGTCAAAACCCACAACTTAGGGGGCTACAAAAATCTACAAGGCATGACCTCACAATAATTGGGAATGTCTTTTTGGGGGAATCTTTCCCGAGAAAGTCACAACAAAATACCCTCAAAAAAGACACTCCCGAATATTCACGCCAAATAGTTAGCCAAGCATCCTGTGCAAGCTACCCTCCCAGCCCGTACTCGGCATGTAATCTGCCCTGGGAGTCTTCATGTTCAGTGGGACGGTCACCTGCAAGTGAAACCAACTCTGAACTGAACAAGTCAACAGCCCTACAAATCGAACAAATCCTACAGATTCTCCTGCCTGCGTGCCCTCCAAATCAGGCGGGAACACGTAGGCGGGAGAGTCGGACAAGTAGCACCAGGCCCGGATAATCTGCCCAGCCTAGCAACTTGAAACCTCATGGCGCTGTTCTGTTGGGAGCAGCGCTGTGTCCTCTGTAGTCTTTTGACTCTCAGCGCGCCTCCACGAAGCCTGTTAAGTGAATCGTCACTGAATTCTTGCCGGAAGTGGCCTGGAGTTCGAGTTGTCATCTTGCTGGAAGCCCAACGCGAACCTGGCCTCACCATAGGAGGCACCCCACCCAATATCTCCGGATCCAGGGCCGAAGGTGAAGAAGCTCGAATCCGGATACAAGCCCCACCTAAGCCATGCAAGGAGCGCCTCATAACGTGTCTGAACATAGGAAAGTGTCTGTGCCAAACATCACAGCTCAGGCCGGAACTCGGTTGCAGGGCCATCATTGACGACGCAGCGAATCACGCCGCCTTCCACTTGCAGCAATGGCGGGGGTATCTAAACGTCTACACAAAGCAGTCAAGAGCCACGCTTCCGCCCTGTCCTCCGTAAGCAGAGTCCACCGAGAGGCCAATGGAGTGCGAGTTCACAGCCTCATGCACGCCGTGTCTTGTCAACATACTGTACTTTTGGAAAGTCACTGCAATGTCTTCGCAAACAGCCCAGCACCCATTGCCCATCATCGTATGGGGTACCCTGACAAAAACGAATGGCAGTCAAGTCCTGGCTGCATGCGATCAAGTGTCATAGGAATTGTCAGTCTCAATGCCGCGGATGGATTCTGTGACACGTAATGCTCCTGCACCAAACACGGCAGCTTGAGCTGATCCCAACTCTTGCAGTGATTGGGACCGGGGTCATGGCTCTCAAACTCGCGTTCGAGACAGTTTGACCCGAAATTTGAAGCTGCTTCAATCAAATATGGTCCTGCCGTGTGCGTGTATGAAGAGCCATCGGTGCCTCAGTTCGGGATAAGGAACAGAGAGGATGCAGCTCAAGTGTACATGTAGTTTGTGTGCACTGTGATGGTCCTGGTGCATGGCTTTTCTGTCCGAGAGGCAGCCGTTGATGCCAGGGCAGTAACACAGCTTGTAGCCACAGTTAACGTCATCTGGCTGGCACCCTTCCTCTTGAGTTCCAACCTGCCAGTGTGCATGCGGGATCGCCCAACATTTGAGTGGAATGAAATGTCGAAAGGCTTCAAACAGAAACAACGCAGCAGTTCACACGAGTAGCCGTTTAGGTTCAAACAAGAATACTAGTTATAGGCAGGAACACTACTGAAGATCATATGGTCCAGCCATATTTAGATAGTCACATGTTGAACGACTACCTGTCCAGGCACCTTGGCTACGCCCACGTTGAACATGTTGAAGGAGGTGGTGTTGGTGTCGTCTTCGAAGTACGTCACCTGGAATGGAAGAATTGGCGCAACTGGTGGCACCTGCCAATCAGGAGTGGCAAATGCCTGGCCTGGTCCTGCACCCAGGCAGGGTTGACACCTGAAGAAACCGGCATGATCAAGGCGCAGGTTTGCTGCACACATGCACCATACTCAACGTCGATCAGCTTCCCTCCAATGGGTGGTGTGGGTTGGTGATTTGAAAATTCGGGGGGGCTGTCCATTTACCCACTGCAAGAAGGGATTCAAATCCGCAATCCAACCTCCAACTTTATGGGTTGCCATGGTTGCCTGAAGCTTGCCCTGTCTGATCTCCTCACCACAAGTTGCCAGCTGCGACTGGGGCACCGAAGCCAAAAGTTGGCTGATCCGTGGCGCAGCTGCTCCCTTCTGCCACGATCTTCAGGCGGTCATTCCTTCGACCAAAACGATCAGGCAAGCATCACCCCAAATCAGGGTTCCTTGATTTTGATCACCTCCCCAAAGGTAGACATTTTTGCCGAGGGGTGGATTTCCTGAAAGGGAAAGCCTTGGGTTTAAGTCGAGTTACTGGAGAATAGGACCCAAACAGAACTGTGGATCAACAAAAATGGTACCCAGTTGTCTGGCCCCTTGGATAGAAACCAAGACAACCACAGCTATTTGAATTTGAGCCTAACGGGAAACCAAAAGGAAAACCACTATTGGGGGGGGCGGTCCCCGAGAAAAGAAAAAGCATTTTGAGTCACACCCGGCCACATGTTTCAACAAGTGCAGCAAAAGGTCGGACCCAAGCGCCAACCATTGAGCTGAATGATACACTCAGATCCACGTCTGCACACGTAGACCTGGCGAATCCAAATAGGGTGTGTCAAAATAATATTGACCCCAGATTAATAAACCACTGATTGGTTTTGATCGGGGTCCCTGTTTAGTGGGGTTCATCACTTTTGGAGGGAACTTCCCCCCATAATAGGATGGGTTTATAAATCCAGGGTCAACATTAGGGGAGAACGCACAGTCGCACTTTTCCTGTTGCTCTCAATTTCACCAACCTGACAAAGTGTGCCCTCAAAAAAAGTGGGGTATAGCTGCAGTGCAGTCTTTGGCGTTGGTCTAAGGCAGGCACCTGCTCTGAAGCACCAGAGACCATGACTGTGCCAGCAAGTCCGCCGAAATCATAGGGGTTTGCGCAGGACAAAACGCTGGAGCAATAGCACACCTGCGAGGCGTGCTACTGCTGCCCGGAATGCCTGACATATCCCCACTAGAATAGGCCAAAATCAGTGGTGCACCCACCCCAAAATTGTACCATTGGTTTTGTCCCAGAACTACATGGCAAAAACGGCTGCCTTGTAGTCTCCGCTTGCTTGGATGCCACCGAGCTCAAACCTGGGGTCGGGGATGCAGAGTGAAAGAGAGCCAAATGAGACGACCGCAGCTCACCTGGTACGAGAGCTATTCTGCTCCGGTATTGGCGCAATGGCATTGGTCTGAAGTGATTGGCCCGCGTTGATGAGCACTTCCTGCAAGCAATCATCACCCTACCAATCGGAAGCATCATAGCCATCTGCACGCAAGCACACGCCGAAGCCTGAGCAGGGACGCCTGCAGCGGGGTTGCCGTTGCAGGGGAAG